AATGTCCTGATGCATCTCAGTAATCCAGGTAAAAAAATCAAAAGGAAAAAAATTGTATAGGTCCTCTGGACGGGTTCTTCTTTAATGAAACGTTTCGTCTCTCCTCCAAGAGACTTCTTCAGTCTGAGAGTTTCAGGCAAAATTCAGGCTTTTGAGTCCTGCCTCCAGGTGACTGATACTCACATCACATGGCTATCGTTCACACCTAATTAATACCTATTGTTAACAGGGGGTGGAGAGATACTGCCAATGGCAGCGCTGTAGGATTGGCAGTACATTGGCAGTATCTCTCCACCCCCTGTTAACAATAGGTATTAATTAGGTGTGAACGATGGCCATGTGATGTGAGTATCAGTCACCTGGAGGCAGGACTCAAAAGCCTGAATTTTGCCTGAAACTCTCAGACTGAAGAAGTCTCTTGGAGGAGAGACGAAACGTTTCATTAAAGAAGAACCTGTCCAGAGGACCTATACAACTTTTTTCCTTTTGATTTTTTTACCTGGATTACTGAGATGCATCAGGATACTGTCTTAAAACAACTCCAATCTCAAAATGTTTTAACTGTTTAACATTATTTTATAAACTTTTATAGTAGGTAATTATCAAGGCAGAAAAACTGACATATTAAGACATGAGTGTCAAACTCATTTTCACAGAGTGTCATCAGAGCATTATGGTGGCGCTCAAATGACCATTTGTAATAAACTTTGACTTTTCATGTTTAACTTTGACTAAAACATGAAACGTTACATTTCTTGTCTCAGTAACGGAGCTCTATGGGGTATTTAGTGCAAAAAAAACCAGCATTTTAACATGTCCTTTCATAAACACGCGTACGACTGACTAAATCTGAAATAAATAATACAGAAATACAATTCAAAGTACAAGTAAAGGAGTTTTATTCACTTCTGCTATCTAAACCTGAACTCTCCCACTTTCTAGCACAGAACCCCCACTGGAGGKGGCATTTCAGTTTAAATTTCTTAAAAGGAAGTGGGAAATTTCCACTTCCCAGTACAACTTGGCTGCAGCAAAAGTAGCCTGTGAAAATAAAGCAAAATTAAAAATTTACACAGAGATTTTTGCAGGCCACTTTTGAACCCCGTGCAYATTCACGGGATGACATTATTTTGCTGGTAAAATGCATTCATTATGTGAGATGTAGTTTATGATCAATACTGGCTTTAGAGGAGCATTTTAAGACATTAATATGTCTTTGAAGCTCTCGCGGGCCACAGAAAATGCAGTGGAAGGCCACAGTTGGCCCTCGGGCCTTGAGTTTGACACGTATGTATTAAGAGATTTATTGTGAAATTTTGATGTGACAGTGCTGCACCAGAAGTTCTCAGCTGCTATTTGTGCTTGATTTGTGCAACAATGTCATTAAAATTTAACAGCAATTCTACAAAAATAAAAAGAAAGAAAAAGAAAAAAAAAGCATTTGATATTTGAGTTGTTTTAAGATGGCAGAAATCCACTTCGGTTTTGACCACATCAGTTTGGTCAGAATTGAACTCTACTTCTGCAAACTGAATCCATTTTTATCAATCAACAGCTGTTTACTTTAGAAGATTTATACCATGTAGCACAGAAGTGTGGAAAGTGTAAAAAAAAAAAAAAACAGATTAAATGAATTTGGGCTGTAAATTGTGACCAAAATATTAGCTATATTTTAATTGGAAATTCTGAAATATCTTTTTATTACCTTTTTGTTTATTTTGCTTCAAATCCATTTGTGATAATATGTCTCGGTTATTTTTAGAACTATATGAAAAAAGTGAACATGAAGGTTCATTTATAACATATCATGAACAATAGCACAGTTTGTGGTCAATAAGAAAAAGTTTAAATTTGTTGCTGTTTGTTGAATGTTTTGCAGCGTCAGCCTCCAACGTTGTTCCAACAGTTTGTAACGGGCGAGAGGTGGTGGACTCCACAACATCCTCCTTGTGAAGGATCAGCTGAACCGATGTAAACAGAGTAATATTATCACTAGTCCTTAATCAGGTGTCTCAGATAAGAAGGAGGTCACCCAGATGATCATCCTGACTTTGTTGTTCTCAGAGTGCTGTGAGTACAATGTCCCAATTGCGTTATTTTGGTCTTTGACTCGTAGCATTTTTAAACGAGATGCCGATAAAGTCGAATATAACCCTTGTTTTTTTTTTTATTCTACTTGCAACAATTGAGTAAATTATGGTAAATCTGTTCAGTGTAATATAATATACAAGACGTTTTTATTGTAGATTCTTGGTGAACCAGTTTGTGCTTTCTTGTAATTTATGTAAATAAAATGTGTTTTTTATAAGTATTGAAATTATTCGGTTTCTGAGTGTTTTCTTTGCGTGCCGTTAGGAGACAGATTCCACAAGATTATTGAAACACAAAAAATGTTTTAATAGAATGAACAAATCTTACAAACAAATCAGGTTTCTTTGTGTAATTCCACCCAAGTCTCCTGCAGAAAACTGTTAAATATCTACATTATGCCAAATCAACGGTTTGTATACATCTTAGGACAGAGAACTTGTTCTCCAGCTCCACAGCGCAATCCAGACCAGCCAGATCAGGTTCWGTGTATTATCAAAAGAATACCTCAGGTCAGATGGAGACGAAGATCAAACCATTAGTCTATCTTTAAACTATTTCAAAAGTAGGATAAACTTGCCAATTGTACTTTGACCCAGTTGGGTTCTGAATTCTGTATGGTCCATTAATTGGGAGCTTAAACCTACATCTTGCTGAAAGCAAACAGACCTAAATTGGAAATAACCAGCACAAATATCACCTGGCAATATGGCAGAAAAKCCAACAAAGCCATCCAAGAAAAGCACACAGCAGTCAGGGGGACTGAACAGCTGAGACWGATGTAATGAACAGCAGAGCCTGTGGTTACATACTGCCATCTTGTGGCAACATTGCAATGATGATTTGGGAGGTACAGCCTTACTATTCACTGCTTTTGGGCTTTCCATGAGAAGTTTTTATTTGTTCTAATAAATGAGAGAGGCACAGTGTGATGAACACAGAGTCCCGCCATGAAACTTTAAATGTGCAGGTTTCAATTTTTTTTTTTTACATTGTGAACTAACAATAAAACTAGCCCATAAATGTGATCAGTATGGAAGCCATTTAGGTCATAGTTAGGTAATACAATTTCAAAATTATGACTTGTAATTTCATAAAATTTACTTGGACTCTAAGAATTAAGACATCCATCCATCCATTTTCTGTACACGCTTCTTCCTTTTCAGGGTCGCGTGGGTCTATAGTGCCCATATCCAGCAGTCACAGTGCGAGGGGCGGGGTACACCCTGGACAGGTTGCAAGTCCATCACAGGGCCACACATAGAGACAAACGAGACAAACAACCATTCACTCTCTCATTCACACCTAGGGACAATTTAGAGTYATCAATTAACCTAACAGTCATGTTTTTGGTCTGTGGGAGGAAGCCGGAGTACCCGGAGAGAACCCATGCATGCACGGAGAGAACATGCAAACTCTACCCAGAAAGGTCCCCGGACCGGGATTTGAACCGGTGACCTTCTTGCTGAGAGGCATCAGCTCTACAAAATGTATCATCTCATGGTYAAGTGATATGATCACAAGACTGTATGTCCTCATTAAACTTATCATCTCTTTATGACTTTATGATTTACATCTAAACATTATAAGATGGAGCGCTCCTATAATGAGGAAATGTTGTGTCATAATTATAAATTTTTGATATGAGAGAACRTCAGTCAAAAATGTAAGATGCTTAGTCRTAATTGTGAGATACATGGTAATTTTGAGGTGCTAARATATTTTATTTTATTATTATGAACACATCACAAACATTATGTTTGAAATTATGTCCCATAATCATGACTAAATTATTTTTTCCCCTTTCTTCGGTGTGGCAGGAATTGGTTTCCATTGAGGTTTGCCACTTGTTTTTAATGGATTTTAAATGATTTCATCTTTTCTTTGCAGAAAATCAATCTAACTGTATACTTCTAAATTGATTATTAAAAAAACAGTTTTTGTTGCAAAATTATCACGTTTTAGATAGTGGTTACTGTTTCAAAGAACTGTAGTTAATTCATTTCGTGATCTGTTAGTAATTTGTGAAACCATTCAGCTGATCAGATGTTCCAAACAAGCGTTTCCGACTGAGCCCGCTAGATGGCAGCCGCGGTCCATCAGCGGTCAGCTTCCTTCTCTGAACTCCCGCCGAAGAAAAGAGAGAAGTCCCACCTCTAAAACTCAGCACGAACCTCTGGCCCAGCCTGCAGGAAGTGTTCAGGTTCCGCAGGGAACAGACTCTCCCCTGACAACTGCAGCTGGTGTTTTGCTAACATCGTTTGTTGCTAAAAGGTAAGTTCCCAAAGGATTCAGGTCGTTTTCAGATATAAATAGTCTGAAGCTCCTTAGTTGTCCGTCCTCCACAAAAAAAAAACCCTCCTTAAAAACTACTATTTTAGTAATCTAAATAATTATCGCCTAATTCAATGATAAGTTTCTAACAATGTGGCCAAAATGTAAATATACTAGATTTGTGTCATTTAAAGCCATGTGGTCATCCTGTCTGAGCCACAGGGCGAGCTGAGGCATGTCTGAACTTGTCTGAACATGATGGCAGGTTTCTGTGCAGGACAGTCATGGCACCAAAGAGAAGAGCTGCTTCTGCTGCTAAAGCAGGTGGGAAGAAGGTGAAGGAGGAGCCCGCGGCACAGCCCAAGGATGCCTTCACGTCAGCAAAGGAGGCCCTCCTGGCTGCAGGGCCACAGCAGAAAGGCAGAAAGAAGGTGGATGAACACTGCCCACTGTCCTCTTCAGGAGAGGTAGATCACTGAGCAACACTGGAATAAACAGGGTTTTTAAATACAGAAATTAAATACAGTTCTAATTTACAATTTGGTTTCATCTCYAACAGGTTTATGAGGATTACGATTGCATGCTCAACCAGACAAACATAGGACACAACAACAATAAGTTTTATGTAATCCAAGTTATTAAAGCAAACAACAAGTACTATTCATGGAACCGATGGGGCAGAGTGGTAAGTTTAATAAACACTGTGATGATGYCATACTTTGTCTTATCTTATCTGTTGCATGTTGATTCATAAATTAGAGGCAGACATATGAGTTTAGATAAATAAGAAAAGTTAAATTTGTGAACTTTCATACATATAACCAATAAAACATTACAGTTTTTTCCAACTCATGCAGCTGTGTTTTTGAACATTCATGTCTGTTAATTAATCCAGGGGGAAGCGGGTCAGAATAAACTGAACGACTTCAGTAARCTGGAGATGGCCGTCAAAGACTTTGAGAAAAAGTTTAAGGACAAGACAAAGAACAACTGGAGTGACCGGATGAACTTTGTCTGTCACTCTGGGAAGTACGCTCTGATCGAGGTGGATGGAGAGCAGGACGCTGAGGTCAAGGTAACGTCACAGGGCATCACTTTGGCACATGACAAACCTCGTGATGTTTTAGTTTAGCATTTTCCACCGCATTAACTCTTGGTGTACTCCTCGGCATCGCAGGTGGACACTGTTGATGGGAAAACCGTCAAAGTGTCAAAAAACATCCAACCTTGCACCCTTGAYGAAGCCACGCAGAAACTTATCGGCCTCATTTTCAGCAATGACATGTTCAAGGAGGCGATGGAATGTATGAACCTAGGTGGGTGTGTCTCAGTGAACCAATCGTTTTAAAACTGGTGTAGGTGTGAATGTTTGAAAGGCCTGTTGAGTAACTTTCTAGTTTTAATTAGTCATAAAATAGCGCAAAGATTGTTGGGAAGCAGGAAGACAAATGATTAACTATTACTAAAAAGAAAAGGCTGAAGTCTGCTTTTACACATCCCTTTATCTTAAGTGAAACKCAGTATCTGAGCAGTGGAGAAGGGGGYCTCTGCAGTCACYTGGTGTGTAGGAGGAGTTTGTCCAAGACATGACTGGTCTGTTTGACCTTTGTGGGCGTAGTTTATTGAAGACGTGATTGGTTGGATTGACTATTTTGGGTGGGGTTTGAACACTGCTCAGTTGGGTCGGGGGGACGACACGTAACTCTGTCAAAACTTCAAGAAAGCCCCTCTATGTTTAAATATAAATATTAATTTTAGTTAAAACTTGAGAGAGGAAGGTGCTAACTGCACAAAATTTGAACGTTGCAGGGCTCTAGACTAACTTTTTGCATTGGTTGCACCGGTGCTCCTAACATTTTTTCTTAGGCGCACCGGCACAAAAGTTAGGTGCACCAAAATTTTCAAACCACATCGCCTAACATCAGAGTTTTACAGGTGTTTTTTTTATCACTGTTCATTAAGGCAACATTAACTCGAAAATAATTAGTTAACAAGTAAACATAAAGTTATTCATTTGAACCAGAATTGTAGACATTTAACTTACTGAAAAGTATTTAAAGTGATTCTATAAAATTCTAAGTGCAAATGTTTAAGGGCAGAAAGTCTTATAAACATATTAAACATTTCACGGTTAAATTTGTTTTAGACACATGCCCCTCAGATGGACTACTATGGATCTTTGGCTTTGGATAAACCAGAATGATGAACAGAGAATAATGATTAATAACAGAAATATTACTGATATTTATTAAAAGGTTGTGCAGATGTTTAAAAAAATAACAACACAAAAGTCTGCAATTTCTTCATTAGTTGAATCTTATTATCTTATATTATTTCACTTAAATATCTAATATGTCTAGTCTTATCCTCCTGAGACCCAGAAGAACCAATTTCATATACTTGGAATATAAATGTGGTGAAGTCGATTAAGTGCAAAAGCGGCCTGCCATACGCATGAGCTTCCTTGTCCAGCTGAAATGATCTGCAGCACTCAGACCCCGACTCTTAAATTAACAAGATGGACTTAAGAGCGAGCAACCGTCCACATCTTGTTTTCATCTCCAGCTAACAAGAAAGAACTGGTTTTAGACTCAGATCTGGGTAAAAACAAAAAATGCGGTTTCGCTATGCGTGCGCGCGTGTGTGTACAGATTTTTGCTTCATGGTGGGTACAGTTATTGACCATTTCCCCGGTACACACAACCTGGTGAGGTTAGGGTTTGGGTCAGGTGCGTAGTCTACCTGGGAGGTTATGTTTGGCTATAGAACTGACGGGGAAATGAATGGAAGTCAATGCAAAGTCCCCATGAGGATAGAACAACAAACGTGTGTGTGCACGCGGGAGGTGTGGAGCGGAGCCCGWGAGCAGAACGCAGTGTTATTAGGAGAGATGAGACTGTCGGCTGGCGACCATTGATACTGCTGGATTATTTTTATGGAACATGGAAACTTTTTTTCAGCGGGCGACCGCTCCCCCTCCTCGGTCGCACCAGTGTGACTGGTCATTTTTTTTAGTCACACTGTTAGGAAATCTGGTCGCACTCTAGAGTCCTGCATTGTACATGTGGAGATGTGTAACAATTTGGCGTGGGAAAAGATCGCTACTTTTGAATGCATCATAACTCAATAGGAAGGTGCTTGCCGAACCAAATTTGTAGTCAGTAAATTATGTTTACATGTTCACAATAATTTTTCTATTACTAATATATCATCTTTTAATTTACTCCACAAGTCAATCCGACCAATCACAGTTTTGCCAAACTCCGCCCACCTAAGAACCTCCACCTACGCACTGCAGAGACGCCTACTTGCTGACTACTTGCAGAGAATGAAACAATCTTGATGAGGTGTGTTTCCCTGTGTGTGTTTTTCTCATTTTGCAGACATCAAAAAGATGCCTTTGGGTAAGCTCAGCAAGGTGCAGATTGCAAAGGGTTTTGAGGTTTTGGAGGAGATTGAAGCAGCTATGAATCGAAATAGCAGAAGAGAACGCCTGGAAGAGCTTTCATCCAAGTTCTTCACCACGATCCCTCACAACTTTGGCAGAAACAGACCGCCAGTAATCGACAACACAGACATTATTGAGAAGAAAAAAGAGATGCTTATGGTGAGGTTTGTTTATACGTTTGAAAGTCTCTTTTTGAAGTTCTGCCAGTTTTAAAGACTTTTATTTATTTAATTTTTGTTTGTGCTCTGTTTAGGTGTTGGCAGACATTGAGCTCGCCCAGACACTGAAATCAGAAGCTGAGAAGGCTCAGGAAGAGATGGTAGAGACTGTTCCTCATCCTCTTGACCAAGACTACACGTCTCTGAAATGCAGGCTCACCCTGCTGGACCCAAAAACTGAAATGTTTAAGGTAATGTGTTAAAGAACATGTTTATACAAGGATTTTTTTTATAAAACATCTCAGACCTCTCATGGGTAAAATATATATTTCTTGTTTTATTCATTTGCTTGTTGTTTTGTATTCGAAGATCATAAAAAAGTACCTGAATGCGACRTCAGGTGGCTATTCTAAACCAGAAATCATCAACGTGTGGGAAGTTGATCGTGAATCCGAGGTAGGCGCTTGGTCCAGTTTGGCTCAGTGTAACACAGAAAGCCACAGAACCAGGAGCTAACACAGTRTGCTCTGCAGGGACGGCGTTTCAGCGAGAATGACGCGTTGGAGAATCGCCGTCTGCTGTGGCATGGGACTAACATAGCGGTAGTGGCGGCTATCCTGAAGAGCGGCTTAAGGATAATGCCTCATTCCGGAGGCCGTGTTGGTTCTGGGATCTACTTTGCATCTGAAAACTGCAAGTCTKCGTGTTACGGTGAGGCTGCAGAGACAGGGCTTTAAAAGATGGCTCGTATTTTCCATGGAAATCATAACATTTGAATCATACTTTGTTGTGGTGTATTTGTAGTTCGGCCCTCGAACAACACTGGAGTGATGTTTCTCAGTGAGGTAGCTCTGGGCAAAGAGTGCACTATTACCAAAGATGACCATACCTTAAAGAAGGCTCCTGCAGGTTATGACTGTGTGGTGGCGCGAGGCCAAGTGGAACCAGGTACAGTGCTTGTTCTGTTTGTTTCATAAAGGAAACAATTCTGTTTTATATTGTCTTTAACTTTGGTGTTTTCAGATCCATCTAAGGACATTGTCGTCACTCTGGAGGGAAAGAATGTTACTGTTCCTCAGGGAAAAGCCATAAASCAGCCACAGTACTCTGACAGCTACTTCAGCAACAGTGAATATCTCATCTACAAAGAGAGCCAGTGTCGCCTTCGCTACCTGCTGGAGCTCAACATGCGCTGCTGATTCCAGCCAAAGTAGAAGCACGTGCATTAAAAGTGCAGATTCTTATTTTAGACGTCTCGCCGCGTTGCACATGATGCCTCGTTCTTTTCTGTGCCTTATACGTATTTCCGCCATGCATGTGGGACAGAATGTACTGCTGTTTTAGCACACGTTAAGCTGTAAAACATACTGAAGTTTTGAGAAAGATGTTGACCTCTCGTTGTAGGGCTTGTGGTATCTGTTGTGTTTACATGTTTTAAAGGGATTGACTTTTGCACTCTTGGATTTTTGAACTTCACAGATTTTTATGTGTCGTTTTGGTAGTTGGGACTTAGGTTTGACATAATGTTATTTCACTGCAAAACTGGAGCAGTTCCTTTACTATTAAGAAAAATCAGTGAAGTTTCTTGTCTGGAGCACTTTTATTTTTTATGAAGAAAGATGCTTTGACTCAGTCTTSTTTATGCTAATGAGTAATGGTAATGGTTACTTTATAAGAATGTATCTGAATTATACAAGGGTGACTGGCAGCATGTCTTAGCAGTTAAATAGACATTTGAAATAATAATAATGTAGAAAAAAGCAGAAAAATAACCGATGTGCATTATGAGGTACAAGTTGTGGTTCAAGTGTGTTAAGACTTAATAATAGAAGTAAATTCCAAATATCTTCTCTATGCCTACACAGGTGTCATATAGAGTCACTAAGAAGAACCTTATTAACCACCAAATTGCATTTTTGCACAATGACCACTTAAAACTGACATTCTTTAATAAACTAAAATGCACCTGTAAACTTGTCTGTTGTTGTCTTATAACAATATTTRATGCCAGATATTCAGGATAAAAAAAAGACCTTGCAGGACTGTAAYAGGTTGTATTAAACATCCTGTTCATGTTGAACAATGATTATAGTGTATTAGTGTGAAACAAATCAGTGTAATGTAAAACATTTAATACTGTTATGGTATCTTTCAGGTTTTTGGTGACATCAGTGATTTATTTATTTTTCTATAAATTGGGGYTTAAAATTAGTGTCCTTTGTAAACTGGTGGAAAGTAGGACCTGGGAAGGCTGGGATGTAAATGGGGACAGTGGAGTGTGTGTCTATTGGCAGAAAGGGGAGGGTGGGGGGACACAATGTGTGACAGTCACTGCCATACACAGGACTGAGAGTCTGACTGAAGGAGACGTGAGCACCAGTAAGAATAATTAATTGGCACAGAAAGCCATCAYGGATTCAGTGTTCAGTGCCTTTTTAAAGCATGGGGAATTTACAGGATATTTATGGACCTCTACTTGTCTACAGAACAACTAAAYTGTTACCTCTTCATATTTAAGTGGATTATTTATGGTTTGACTTTTTTTAGTGGGAAAACTTTGGCCTCCACTAGTTCATGCTGGTTTTAAACATTAGCGGAGCTTGAACAGAATAAACCAGGATTAAACCAACCATTTAAACACCATCCAATCAGAGTGAATCATGGGTAAGTCCTTTTTCACTGGATTTTTTTATGTTTGTGTCTATAATGTCTTGTCAAATGTCAGATTTGCATCACAAATAAAGGGAAATTTAAAGCACAATTGCAATAATTCATCCCAATCGCAAAACTTCGTAAATTTGTATTTAATAAATCAATTCGGGCACATTTTGATCTCAAAAATCAATTGTCATATATAT